CTTCAGCTTTAGCAAGTAAGATGTGAAGGAATCAAATGAAGCTATTTTTCAAAGCTATTATTATCTTATCTTGAAGTGCTGTCTCACTTTGGTACTTAATGTGATTTAATTTAGATCACAATTTGGAAATCAATAGCCTCCTAAAACTTTCACAGGAGTTGGACCTAAGAGGTGGAAGAGTCAGTGATGGTTCCCAAGAAGAAGCAATAGACCAGTGGGCCAGGTGGAGGCAGCAATTCAAGGACAGCAAGAGATGCAGTTCAATGGTGGATAGTTTCGTGGTCAGCAGCAACACTGAAGGCTCCAGTGAGTAGAAATTTGCTTTTCTAAACCACAGCAAAGGCAGCAGCTTCCTGTCTTAATCAAATTCCTTCCCCCTCCATCTCTAGAACATAGATGCTGTTGTTTGAACATGGCAATGTGATTTTATGGTTTTATATGAAAAGAACTTTGAGATAATCAACTTTTTGTTGTCTATTAAGGAATTCCTCCTTGGCAAATAGCCTTTGAAAACACAGCTGCAAAAACTGCTAAGGCTTCTTTCTCTTTAGATACTAAAATAGTTAACTATAGAATTGTTTATTGAGTTAATTTGTACTGTACGTCAAAAAAATCCATGTTGGTATAAAAATGTATAATGTAAAAGGATAAGATCAATATGTTTGATTATAAGTGAAATTTTTTCTCATTTTAATATTTCTGCAATAAGTGTCTTAAAACATCTGTATTTTACCAAGATAGTATTTCCTGGCTAGTGTTACTCAACACTACTGAGATACACTGTATCTCACCCTCACAATTAATGGCAACTGAGAATGGATGATAGGAAATTCAACTAAAGTAAAATAGTGGTTAAAACATAGGGCCAGGGATAGCACATTGAGTACATACTACAACTTATCTGGAGCCAAGACTGTAACTGCTGAAGTTGTTAAAGATAGTTTACCCAACAAATAGGCATTAACTATTTGTACATTATTTGCAAAAACAAACCAATTCTGAAAAATACACCCATACCAAAACCTCAGTGAGCTACATTTATTTATTATTATTATTGTTATTTTATGTGTATGGGTATATTATCTGTACCCATGCCATACAATGCCCACAGAGGTCAGAAGAGGGTGCTGCAGTTAGGGATGGTTGTTAGCCAATATGTGGGTGCTGGGAATTGAACCTAAGTCCTCTGAAAAAGTAACCAGTGCTCTAAACTGCTGAACCATCTGTCCAGCCCAATTATAATTTTTTTAAAGGAAGAAAACAAAGAAATGCACAGTGTGGTCATACAGAGAATGTTTTTTATGAAAAGACAATATTGAGAGTCCCAGGTTGTGTCCTGTAGACAATTTGATCAAATGACAAGTGTGATTCATGAAAGGGAGAGGTGTCATTTATTTTCCGGAATGAGGCAGAAGCCTGGTGAAGATCAGAAGTTGAAAGAATCCATAAATATTCAAGGAAAGATTATAAATTACTCAACTGGTTAAATACTGTGCTGTAGTGTCACCAACAACAATCTTTATTCATGTGAACAGTGAAGAATAAAATTCATGTGTTTTATTTTGTTCTGAGCTTTTTATTCCTGTCCTTTTATCACTGCCCAGTTCTTCTAGGACCTTCGTTATGCTGGAAAGCAAGGATCTAGGATCTGGAATTTTATCATTTTTGTTTTCACGTATACTACCATGTAGGATTGTTCTGGCTTGTTCAAATACCTGTGAAATATATCCCTGAAGAATACACATCTTATATCAGGCTCCTGAAAGACTAATCTTACCACTTCACATTGTGTTCTAATACTAATTTCCTTCTACTTCTGTCCCACCTTAACGTTATCAATGGTTATATTACATACTACACAATCTGATACATACTTTTTAAATACTTACTGTAACTTTTGCTCATGGCTGCTTTTTGTACCAATTATTTCTAACAGTATTTATTTTTCCTTTTTCTATAGTAACAGTCTAATAACTTTCACAGAAAATTTATGTGGGAGGCAAACTGACTCATTACGTATCTGAAAATGTAGGTTTTCCCTCTCAATTCTTAGTGACAATTTGGTATATAGAATTCTAGACTCAAGACATGAAAGAAATGGCTTCATTGCCCTATTAACTGTGGTGCTAATGAGAAATTTCAGTTCAATCTGCTTTTTGTGACTTTGGTAACTAATCCAATTTTGTTTCTGGTAGCTTTTAGAGTTTTCTTTTTACCCTTACTTTTTAATTTTTTCCTATGTACCTCAGAATAAGTGTTTTAAGTATATTTTTCCTATTTCACATCATGCTGATTGCTTCTACCTTTCTTCAGTCCATAAATTCTCAGCTATTCATTTTTCAAATATTTGATTTCCTTCCTCCCTTTTCATGTGTGCTGCTGGCACTATTTCAGATGCGGATTTAAACTTTGGATCCTTTCCCTGAACACCCTGAACACTTCCCATGTACTGTGTACTGTGCCTTTCCTCATCTGTCCTTTCTACACTCTGAGAGAATGCCTTAACTCTGTCAGTTACCCCAGCAATGCATCCCACATCTAAGTTCCTCTTGGTTTCTAGCCTATTGTTTTTTAAATGTGTTTTTATTTTAACAACTTTTTAAAGACATGGTCTCACTATGTTGCCCCAGATGGCCTGGAACTCAACTTACTGTATAGACCATCACAAGTTGTTCTGAATCTTACAGAGATCCCATGGCTCTGCCTCCCGAGTGCTGGGATTAAAGGTATGCACCACCATACTCGGCAACAACTCTATTTTTAATTTGTATAATCTCTAAATTTACTGTTTGTATTGTGCCCATTTTTATGCCTTTGGGAATATTAACAATTTTATATGATGTTTTAATCTGATATCTCCATTGATAAACTATTTTCTCTAATACACCTATCACATTTGCTGAATTTGCTGTCTCTCTTTCATGGTCTTGGCTTGTACTAAGTATCTGTGATTTTCTACTGGATCCTCATTGTTTGGCTCATTTCCTGTCCTGAATGGATGCCTCTGATTGAGCAAACAATGTATGCAAGTAGTGAGCATCCCCTCTATGTTTTCTGCATCCCAAATGGTTTCTGCATCCCCTGTGATTTCTGCATCCTCTATGGTTTCTGCATCCTCTATGGTTTCTGCATCCCCTGTGATTTCTGCATCCTCTATGGTTTCTGCATCCCCTGTGATTTCTGCATCCCCTGTGATTTCTGCATCCTCTATGGTTTCTGCATCCTCTATGGTTTCTGTTTTATTCAGTGCAAACATTCTTCCATTGCAAGTATTAGTGTGACTTTGGCAGTGAATATTCCATATCTTAGTGTCTTCTGTCCTCAATCCCTAGCATTTTTACATATTCATGTTTTTATTTCTAGACTGGGGCAGGTATTATTGATGTACTTGGTTAATGCTGGGTCTCAAAGTGGGGGAGGTGTAGGTATGGAACTACCTTAATGTGTGTATGGTACCCCAGTTCATCACTGTCTTATTTTGTGCCTTGGGTCTTCCTAGTTCTTGACTTTTGACTCTTTCAACATTGTTCATGATGCTCATACAATTCTGCATCAACATACACCCAAATATATTCTATGCTGTGGACTCGGTTCATGGTTTACATATTGCATCTGGGTTTCAGGAACCACCCAGTTCCTGGCCTAATGTGAATTCCTTTCTTGTTCATAAACTCTAATCTGTACATCTTATAACACAGAACAGACACACAGAGCAAGAGCAAGCACGAGAGAGAGAGAGAGAGAGAGAGAGAGAGAGAGAGAGAGATCTTCTATCCTCTTCCTAATATTTAACTGGACTTTGCAAAACCTCTTTCCTTTATCATACAGAAAGTTTGGCTGCAACTCTTCCTTTTAAGAGAACCTACCACAGTGTTCATGAAGTAAAAGACTCTGCAGGAATTGGCACATAGTGACAAACATGCTTGGTAGCCTACCTATTAATTGGGAGACTATGGTCTATGCTTATTCCATTCTTGATGCCATCTCTAAGAACAGTGTCCGTTCGCCTTCGGAGTCCTTCTCTACCCATCTCTCCTTTTTGTTAAACCCAAGAGTCTTGTCTCTTTGGCCTCTGTCAGTGGATTCTCTAATTTTCTATTGAGTTTGATTTGTAGGAAGACTGGGAGAAGCCTAAAAAGAATGCTGTCCTGCCATTATTTTTCCTGATCTTTCTGTGTGTGAGGGCAAGAACTCGCTGTCTCTAAAGCCACACTCCTACACAGTGATCCTCACCATGCTGCCTTCTGTGGCTTTACGTTCTAGTGACTGGTGGTACCTGCTCTCTCTTACCCTTAGATAAGCTATTCTCAATTCCAGCCAATCATGTCTGAGTTCATTAAAGCCTGCCAGACTGTAAATAGTCCTATTAATTCTCCTCATTTCTCAGTAGAGGATGTTATCTTTTTCATGCCACACCTCTACAACACACCAGCATTCTCCTTGTGGATGCTTCTGAATGATACTTCACCAAATATCACCAGATAACCTATTGATAAGCCAGCACTGGCTACTGCCAACAGGCATAAAGGAAGATTCCCAGTCAACAGACCTTTGATAGTTTCTCAGAGATGGAGAAAGTTGGATTTTGAAAGAATTTGAAATTTGGCTTTAGGTAGGTCTTTCAATGTGAGATCTTGGTTGAAAATGGCTAAGAGTCATGATGTAGCAGTTTAGACATGATAGAAATGCCAAAGTAATGATTTGAAAGGCAGAAAGACTCTAAAGGATTAAATTATCTATTGGTGATTGTTCTGAATTGATTTTTTTTTTTAATTTCTCTAATGAACAGTATAGCATTTGCTTGTGTGAAGAGTCCCCTAGAAGAGTAAAACTGTGCCCAAACTGTGGAATAAGTCAGTTAGCTGGAACAGGAAGACGTGTGCTCGCAGGCAGTTTTGGTTCTCAGTATCCAAAGTGCAAATGGGATATAAGCTCTGTTCTCACTGCACTCTAACCTTCCATGACTAAATGGATGCTCAAACTGGACTCCCTATACAGAAATAATATTTTCCTGACATTCGTGGTTTTCTTGATTTTGTATTTGATAGACAGTTTCTGTCTTTGAACATTTTTTTTCTATTTATGTAAGAAGACACATTTTGGGCCACCAAGATGACTCAGCATATAAAGGCACTTGCTGCCAAGCTGATACCATCTGAGTTTGATCCTGAGGACCCACATAATAGAAAGAGAAAAACAACTCCTTCAGGTTGTCCTCTGACCTCCACACATGATATGGCATATATGTTCATGCACACACACAAATACATGTAAAAAAAGTACATCTTGTGTTAAACATATAAAAT